GGCGGTATTAAGTATCGTTTATTGTTTTAGACAGCCCAGAGTGGCTTAGTGCTTTGCCCCCTTAAAAGGATTGTTCGACTGCATGCACTAATGAGTTTTCAATTTTACCCTGATTTTTTTATATATATTTGTTTATATATATTTGTATGTACGTTTTATATATACATTGAATATTTAGTTATTCAATAGTATTATATAAGTCGTGGGAGCTCGTCAACGCAAGGTTACCTGGTTGAGAAAGAGAGATTTAAATTAAGATAAAAACTTCTGGTAAATGCTGGAAATAATTACAACACAAACTAAAATAACTAATATTTAGTATATATTATTTCTTAAAAGAAGCTATTGTAAATGATCTTGTTTCGTTTTTAATTAGATTGATTAAAAACTCTAGATAATGAAATTGAAATAATAGTTATCCATTCTTCGTTCGCAAAATTATTCAGTGAAAATAACAGATTGCATTTGGTCTGTGAGAAACTCCTGGCGGAAGAGCATCTCTCAAAGATCCGAATTTACTTAGTCGTATCCACTGTACGTTCTATTGAAAAGTCGATCCAATTAAGGTCCCACGATAATACAAGTTATAGAGGATTTAACTAAAAACGTGAATGATTCAGTTGGCCAGTTATGTGGACGCTGCGACCACTCAGGTTTGGTGGCAATCTTAACAAAAAGCTTATTAGGTTCAGCTTTATCTTTTAAACCTCTGACATTCCATTAACAGAATGCTTATGAAAGTTTAATTTGAAACTTTTGGTAGATCCGTGATCAATTTTATTTCACTAGCACTACTAATAGAAGTGTATAATGTTATATATCTTTTTATAACTAAGACTACAATAGGTATTTGGTACAACAGTGTAGTTTCATAGATGGGGCCAATGTTTAAGCTTAACGCGCAGAAGGGCGTCCTAAATATGAAAGTAGTACTGACAAACCCTGCTGCTGCTTTTGTACACAAATAAGTTTGTATAATTGTTAAATGAAACCAGTTTACGGATTTTACCTTGATTACCTTAGTTTTTTATTTTGATTTGAAGTCCCGACGTTTCGAACCCTTTCCAGCGTTCATGGTCACGGGACAGACTTGTATAATTGTGTCACAAAAATATTAAAAAAGAGATAACAATACCGCAGAGGTTCTTGCCAGTTCTTCTCTGTTCAGGTCTAGTTTAGTGAACCGGTGGTAGTTTTTTTGACGTTCAATAAGTGCTTAAGTTAGCCTATATTGAATAAACATATTTTGACTTAAATAAAAATATACTAATAAAAAAATACTAAAGCAAAGCTTTCGTATCACTAACAGCCGTCTCTGTGGAAAATTAGGGTTATACACTCTCCGCATATCATTCAAAGCGATCATTACGAATATGAATTATTTAAAAATCTCTCATCTAACTTCACTATTTATCAATAAGATGTAGCCACTCGAACGTTCTTAGCGAGCCCTTTTGCACTCGAGTGTACCGAAAGGTGAATTAGGATGTTGTTAACAGGGAACACACTTTGATATAATTTTGCAGAGAGAATTTTCGGATTACCCCCCCACGCAGACGGCGCTTTGGCTGGGCGGCCGGGATGCACCCCACGGTTGCCGAGCAACACCCAGGGCTCGCTTGCAGCCGGGACGCGTAGGATGCCTGTGATTCTGACAGACAGACCTACCTATAGATCAAATTCGATATAGACATGTCAGTCGCGCCCGGCATCATTCTACCTATCGGTACAGTCGCGTCCGTAAACAGATTTAAATCGATCCCAACCGTATGCCAAAGCTCTAAAGTTTAAATTTATCAATGCTGCCTATTGTTATATGTCCATAACTGTATGAGCACTGATTAAGTCGAAAATTGATATGGAGTGCTCTGTACTATTACGTGGTATGTCGACTTGTTCGACAGTCGAAATTAATTCATTATAAACGAACGGGACTTCGAACTGAGGTATTAATTACAAAGCCATTTCATTATTTCCCAATATTGTTCGTATCGTTTTATCCAACGAGACACAAATTACAGTTAATACTTTACATATAGGTGATGTTTTAAATATATGTAATGTTTGAAAGATCAATTATTAGTACTAATTTATATCATACAATCGTAACAAATCTAAATACTTAAAAGGGAGTTCTTGGGTATTGAGATAGATATATAAATAAATACGGAATATATTTATTAATGTGTCCAACTCTGAGGCCTAAACTTCAATCTCGCAATCTTCGCAAAATCTCGGAAATTTATTTCTCGCTAAATCTAACCAATTTAACCCTAAGAAGACACTAGTTAATTCGTTTACAGCAAGGAATAAAAAAACCCTTTGTCGCTCGTCAATTTAGTTCAGATGATTAGTTTTCAGAATGATTAGTTCTTTCGCCGCGTAGACTAACTTTAACCTTATTACAATTTTCATGTTAATAATAAAATTAAGAATATTTGAAAAAAAAAAAAATTTTTTTTTGAAATTGGACCTACACCTTTTTCATCCTAAGTGCAGAGACTAGCACAAAAAATAAGAAATAACTCTTTTTAGGTTTCTTCACAGTTGAAATATTACACAATGCAATGTATCACGTAATTTAGCCAACCATTACATATTATATTGCACATCCTTTAAATAATTAGATGCCATTCTTATATTTATACTCAATTTCAAACGTAGCTTACTCCGTCTAATTTGTCTCTTCATACACCATAGTTCAAATCAGGTTGCTGATTTATAAATAAAAGTAACAAACTGTGACACCTAAATAATATAATGTGCACTTATGCCTTTTCGCTTTCAAAACAAGCTGAGCGGAATAAGTAAAATAAGAAATATTTTAAAATCGAAATTTATGTTGTTAAAATATCTTTTAACAAACACTCGGTATTTTGCAAGCTTTGCTAGCCTTGTTCCATGAAGTACCTCAAATTATCGGCTTAAGAGATTCCTTCGAAAAAACAAAGTAATATAAACAAGGTATACTGTTACGCTAATTAGCGTTAAGACGTTTTAGTAACCATAACGACGGGCGTATTTTTATCCTTATTATCAAAGTGAAACGCCACGTGTAAGGATTGTAATGATTTGATGGTACTTAGAGCGTATTTCGTGGAATTGGCCCAATTATGAGAATATGAGGTATATCAAAGTTGGCGAAAATATGTGAAAATATCGTATAGATCGGGACCGGTCGGAAAAATCATATAGATTGGGAACGTGTGCTTTTTAGATCTTACATTATTACAATTGATAATGCCTACGAAAAATGCCAATTTGCGACGGTATTACTTCATATTAATATGTTTTGATGAGGAGCTATTGAATAGTCGGCATCAAAGACGAATACTTGATAAGGGTGCCGGAGGAATAACGTTTTCACAAGAATATTGACGCACGTTGGCTTAGTTATTTAGACGACAATTTGCTTGCCAACCCATTTCGGGCATTTGGGGTGTGCTAATCCTGCAAATCAACCAACGGAAATATCCGACTGCTTTATTCGTTTAGCGGATGACATTTTATTTTACAAGAAGAATATATATTTTTCGGGTAGTTGAAAATACACTTGAATGGATAATACATCAAGCTAAATACCTTTTTAGGTTCTACACTATAGAAACAAACGGTAACATATTTGAACAAATGTTTTTCAACATTCTTGTCAGGTCCCTGTGTCTTGCTCATTCATGCCACAGTCTTCGCTGTTGCAGGAATGGGCAGGCCCATCCGGATAGGTACCACAAACTCATAGAAGACCTACATGAAGTAGAAGTGTTATACTTCTGCGTTTCATGTGGTGAGTAAGGTAGCCGGGGCGCACTTTATAACAAGGTGGCAAGGCATATGCAAGACTACGGGTGTTGCAATTGTCAATGGGTGGCGGTTATCACATAACATCAGGAAAGCCGCCAGCTAGTTTGCCATTTTTTCATATAAATAATACAGATAATTAAAGCATACATAAAAACATTAAAGGGTTCTATGATCTATTGTACAAGAAGGGGGCTAGCGGGTTATTACTGTGGTATAAAATTAAAGAAGCTCCAAGCACATTAGGGCCTTAGAGAGCGGGAACTGCAATTCTCAGAGATCTCTAAAGATACTAGACATCGTAATAAAGTTGTTTGTATGTTTTAATGTTTTCTATGTTTTAATTAATTAAAGTTACAAACAAAAGGTTGTGTAATAATCACACTTAAGAACAGTTTGTATTACTGACTTCTCAGTTTATAGAGCATCAGTAATACGTATAAGGTTAAAGTAAGCTCATCATAATTCACACCAGAAGTGACGCCCCACTTTACGTTTAACGTTCAGTTAATCATGTTTGATAGAAATTAGTATTGAAACGCAAATGGAAGCTACGTGAGTACTGAGTCTGCATACCAGACTGACGGCGTAGCACACAATCCCTAATGGCATACGTGCATTAACAAGGAGGGAAAACTTTATTACTGTAGAATCTTTCTTCCTCCTGGAAACTGGTGTTCCCATGCGTTTCGCTATTAACAATGTTTTCTGTGGTCTGTAGCCTGAAAGTATAACATCATCCAACACAACACATGACTCAAATGAGTCTACTCATGGAATGCGGCTATCCGTCATTACTACAGAAGGATAGAGCTGAATGTACCGAATACCGCAAAGAAAAAGGTTTTGTTGGAAAATCTTCAATAACTTCAAAAGTACCTGACCTAGCTTTATGTAATAAAGCCTAAATTAAAGAACTCTAATGTGCTTAGATAAAAATTAAAAAATAATCGAATTCAAGCTTTTTATTTTTAATAAAAGTAAAATAAATAAGAATGCGCAGTTTGTCCAGAATCTATATAAATGTAGATTCGTAACAATGGGCCGTTTTTACGCATTTTAGTACTTTACGTTATATCCACGAGCTCGCAATACTGCTGTTATGTGTTTATTCTCCTAGGTTTTGAAGCGCATTTTTTCTACTAGGTTTTTGTAGCGATGCTGTGGAATATTCTGACATTCCTCTCTTAGAGCTTTTTTCATTTGACATGGCGCGATTGGCGGCGGATTCCGCTGACGTACACGTCGTCCCAGTTCGTCCCTTGCCTGCTCAATGGCGGCATTCTCGCCCATTTCCACAAAAATGGACCAAAGTAGTCAGTTAGAATATCAGTGGATATGTCACATGTTTCTGCAGTTAAAGTTACATTTTCTATCACCACCACTACACTCAATGCGGGTTTCGGAACAAATCCCAGCCCACACGTGAACAGAGCCTCCGCCGTATGGTACATTTTCTTTTATACAGGCGTGGTTATAGCCCTTTCCGGTCATCTGTGCACTCTTTTCCTTCCATTGTGCTTGGACAAACATAATCTAGACTCATTAGAAAACATAACTCTTGACCAGTCATTCAGAGTCATTCATTATTTAAATAGCTGTAATAAACGGATTTCTCAAAATTGTTGACCATATAGCAATCCTCCCGCGCGCCGGCGTGCACCTTGTTTGTCATGTTCCTGGTCTTCAAAGATTAGATCGAGTTTCATGGAAACGCTGGAGTACTCTCTGAACTGTAGAAAGAGACACATCAAGAATATCGGTGCGCAATACACTATGAAACTTGATAACTCTACCTTAATATTAGATCATGAAATATTTACAATACCTAAATAAAATAATGCGTCTTTAGGATCATATTCATCGATACACCTCTTGAAAGTAACGGAAATATTCTTGTGTTCTACCAAGCTCACGGGTTCTGCGTGTGACGAGGCTCTAATAGTCTACGGACTGAAAGCGCTTACATCATTCAAAACATAAACATAAACGAAATAAATGATATTTTCAAAATATATGTTCAAGTAAAGAACAAAAGAAAAGAAAAGCTCAGTGGCTAGAGCGTCAGGCCGCGAATGCCGAAGACGTGGGTTCGATTCCCACAGCGGCGACAATCTTTTCGTACTTTTTCTACATGTTTTAACAAAAGAAAAGAGTCTATCAAAATAATAATTCCTAAAATGATTGCTATAACAATAAACACTTGTTAATTTTTACTTAACAGATCATCTTTTAACATAGGTAGATAAGAATAGCACAGATTGAATCAAGGGGATGATTATTATGAAAAAGGGCGCTGAATTAAAGTTGGCGTACCCTATTGGAGCCTTCGAGTGCAGACAGGCACACCGACAGAGAGACAGACAAAGTCTTCGAAATACAGTGAACCCTCCTTTGTATTGAGGTTGAAAGAACTTTCGAAGAGGATGCTAAAACTTTAAAGAAGTTTACAAACATTGTCGATCCAGTAACTAAAATCAAATGTATTTATTTTTAAATCAAATATTTACTTATTACACACATACATTGTACACATTATGTGTTTATACATATAAATATTATGTTTCTATTGTGCATAATATATAAAAATGACAAAGGAGAAAATTAAAACGTTATTTTCCGAACAAAGGTTTCATCGATACAAGCTGGCTTATTGAAAAACCGAAAGATATTCTCGTATTTGTCATCTGCATCAAATCAAATTACGTTAATTTCTTGATTTTTCAGCAATAAATATATATTTATATCTCACATACAGAAATTTAGTAAGTAGTAAAGCCAATAAATAAAAAATTAAAATCTCGTAATATCTACAAAAAGAGTATTTTAACTGATATTAATTAATACTTGTATATGTGTACAGTTGATAAGCACGTCAATCTTGCGGGACCAATTTACCTTTCAATATAAAAAGAAATGTCCTTTGTCAGGTTTCTTCTAGTCAATTTGGAGATGGGAGAGCTTACAAATTCTGTTGGGCGTTTAAATTAAATGAATTTTAAGAAATTATCAAAAGATCACTTTTATCTTTGCATGGAACTTTGATTAATTGAAGATACTTATGTGCTAGAAGAAATCCACTACATTAAGACATGACATTCATTTCAATGAATTTTCTCATGTGGTATATACCGGTTTTTGTTTTAACTTAATTTTTTTTTTCACTTTAATGGGTGTTGTCGACGGAATAAAGAGTATAATAATTTGTTAAATACTTTTCAACGACTTATTTGTATCTATTTTCAACTATGGTAGGGCTACGCAATAACGTTCACTGTTGCACGAATTGGCAGATCGGTGTGAATTTTTTTTTTGGGCTTGATGAGCCACTGTTGGCCTTAGGGGCCTTTACAGTTTCGCTGGACTTGAGGTTGCCGGCCGCTCGGGGCGCCTAGCCTGAACCTCGGCGTATTATTATTACGCGTTATGGTGACTAAGCTCGAGGGCTCCCGAGAGAGCCTCGGCTCGGCCCGTCACGCTATTGTTATCATTACCTTACGGTTTGGGAGGCCACCAAGCTCTTAGGGCGCTTTGGTGGACGCTCCATGCAGTGACCAGGCTCAAGGGCCCCCGAGAGGGGACCTCGGCTTGGGCTGTCGCTCAATACCCGTTTAGCATTCCGATTCGAGGGTGCCCGAGAGGGCCGGACCTCGGCTCGATCGGTAGCTATTATCTGACTGGGAGAATTTCTAGATCTATCATTACTACCACTTCGGAAAGCGTTGGCGTTGGGAGAAGAAGTGCCCGAAAAAAAATCCAGCAACGCTTCTATCATTAACGGGGGAAAACCTGCCAGGTACGTTGCGGAACCTAGTATATGTTTTCCGCACTCGCCGGCGTAGTCCGGTGTGATCTGGTTTGTTTGCGTAATTGTTTTATTTTGTCGATGGCGATAGTCGTCACATCGTCAGAGAAATCTAGTACGTGTCGTGGTCTGCGCCATTGGCGACGGAACGAACCTAGCGGTAGGGGTTCGTAGGTGACGGCACCTACAACTAACGGACTGGGATGCGCGGCGGCGGATTCGAAGTAGCGGCGAGACGCCGACTTCAGGAATTGAGCGATGGTTGGCAGTTCTAAATCTACATGTAAGTCGATGTTCCGCATGAACCACGGGGCTCCCGTAACTCTGCGCAAAAATTGATTCTGAATGACCTGAAACCAATGTATTTGCCTCGGGGCAATGTGCGCAAAGACTGGACTCGCGTATGTCATGATGGGGCAAACTACTGCCTTATATAAAGTCACCTTATTCCGATGGGACATTTTTGAAGTTTTATTTAAAAGGGGATTCAGGCAACCTAGTATAAAGGCCGCCCGGTTCCTGACCCGAGTCACGTGCTGTCTGAATTTGAGTTTAGAGTCAAGGACGACACCTAAGTATTTGAATTTATTTATCCATGAAACTATCCATGGATTAAACATGGACTATCCATGAGTTTAACGAGTGGATCGGTGTGAAGTAGAAGTGTTACACTAAAGCGTATCGTCTGGTGAGTGAGGTAGCCGGGTACCGTGCCGTTATTAAAAGGTGGCAACGAGTCTGCAACACTACGGGTGTTGCAGTTATCACTTCTCTCACATAAAAAAAAACCTTCATGTGCAAATCCCCCTAAATTGTAAGGGTTGTCTAAAGTACTCAAACCGAACGCTCCATTACCCCCTATTGTAAGCCTGATCGTCTCCCCATCTTACGGATTGGCTCAACAAGTAGTAAAAATTCTATCACCGTTAAGAGGACACACAAGGGCATACATAAAGGATTTCTAAGATTTTGTTAGAGAGATAAAACAATGTCTTGTTATGTTATTCTTCATAACCAATAATAATTAGGAGACAATTTGAAGCTTGTTAAGGAATGACCTAACAGGCCGTGTTTATCGTATAACAATTTTTGTGTCACAAGTTTTAACCTTCATCTCATTTCTATATGAAGAAGATAATCAACAATAAGTGAATTTAACAAGCGTGTAGTTTACAATAATATAAATAAACATAAAATGCTTGTTTTAATATATATTAAAAAAAACAAAAAAAATTATAAATTAAAGCGAGAAATGGCGGGTACATTTAGTATTTGTTGTTATAGCGGCAACTGAAATAATATATCATCTGTGAAAATCTCAACCGTCTTACTATCATGGTTCATAAGATACAGCCTGGTGACAGACGGACAAACAGACGGCCAGACAGCGGAGTCTAAGTAATTAAGGCTTAGGGTAAAACGGGACCCCTTGGGTACGGAACCCTAAAAACAGAATAAAAAATATTAAAGTAGGGCTCCCATGACTCCCCAGATCCCCCAGATAAGATTTTTTTTATCGTTTTTAAAGATAAATGGTATGGAAACTTCGTGCGCGAGTTCGACTCACACTTGGCCGGTTTTTTATTGACTGTAAGTCTCAATTTATGTTGGGACTTCGTGGAGACTATTTAAATCATTTGTAATTCATGGGCATGACCTGGAGGTCGTATTGACAAATGGGAAAATTTTTAATTTTACTTCTTTCACTCGTCTCAATCTGTTTAGTAACTCCATCTCGTGGCGTAACAGTTAAAATAACCTTAGAAGTAACAGACCGGCTTAAAACTAGCTGTTATGACACATTTCGGGTACCTTACACAAACGTTATTGCATTTACATTAAAAAATCTCAATACTACAATCAATGGTCTTTATTTACCATCTAATAAAAAATATTTGTTTCAAGTTCGAGTCGAGCACCCCATCTACTGGATGTACATTTTAGACATTACAAGTTCGGTGAACATACAAACTTCATAATTATTCCGGATGCGCTGTTACGCGAAGCAACCACCATCTTTTGGTTAACATCGGGACTACTTACGCACTGACAGGGTTGATTTTCCCCCTACGTGACGATGAGCGACCTCTATTGAAAAACAGTAAAACTTTCTTACATTAATGAATGATGAAGTGTGCCAGATTCAACAATAATAATGTACATTATTAATTTGTCAAAAAATTTACTTTATCAATATTTAAAAATCATAAAACATAATACAACTAAATAAAGATGGTGTAAAAAAATCGACAGTATATACACTATTATTTTTGGTTTAATATTTTACAGTTAGTAAAGATAGATGTCGCTAGGATTGCTTAAAGAAAAGACATCGGGGGTTTTGAATTAAACTTGCTTTCATAGAAAACTACGCTGTTCTTTGTTTCTTTGCTAATTGTAGATTAAAATAACTAACTGTTACGATGCCCAACGTCACATAGTGTTTGTATATGAAATATGTTATCGCGATAGTCCTATAAGTGTTTGCCACTAACTGTTTTGATTTTCCATGTTTAGGATTATGCATTTTAGGTTCAATACTTTATGAAGGTGTGTGATTCGTGAAATGATTTTGGTATTAATTAATTGTAACAAAGCAAACCATGTACAACACAGCTGTAGGAAGAAACAAACCTACTTTTTACGTGT